CATCATGCTTGGGAGGGTGGAGGGACAGCGCAGGAGAGGAAGGCCCTCTATGAGGTGGATTGATTCAGTGACTGGGGTAATTGGGATGGGAGTGTCAGAGACAGTGCGATTGGCACAGGACAGAGTGGAGTTTAGGGCTGTTGTACATAGGGTCACTATGAGTCGCAGGAGACTCGACAGCACATAACCAACAACAACATTTATTAAATTAAGATAATATAGTACACCAAAAATGAGAAAAATACCAAAGAAGAGTTTATAAAATGCTTATTTTTTTTTTAAATCAGGCTGATTTATCATCTTACAAGGCTGAACAGACTTTAAGTTATTATGAAGGACTTCTATTATCTTTACGGATGAAAACTTGCACTTGGGCTGTATCTCATGGTAGTGTGTCAAGTACACAGCAAAAAGCACTGAAAATAATTGCATACAAAAATGGAGCTGGCTATCATAATGGGAAGTTAATTGTGGCTGAAACATTCCCCATGGTAAGTGACTATCACTTAACAGTTGATTGTATCCTCAGATGTAGTGATGATGGTTATTATTCTGACAAGAAAAAAAAAAGTAGTGGGATTGAGTGATAAATGTCTTTGACCAGTTTTATCAATTGAAGTTGATGAGATCAAGATCTTTGCTTTCTTAAGGAAATTCTTTTTTATTCTATTTCTTTGGATACATGCAGTCTTAGAAAAAGCAGCAACCAGAATATGGGTTTTAGATTAGCTCCAGAGCAAAGATATATTTTAAAAAAGTGAAAAAAGGGATTTAAGATAAAATTTTAATTCCGATTTTAATGAACATTTACAGAGAGGTTAGATATTTATTCATTCATTGTTACATTTTTTACTCCTTCTCCCTCCCTTCCCCCTCCTCCAGTTCACTTAAAAACATTATTCATTCATTATTGTACAATTACCTACCTTCCCCACTCTTCCCTCGTTCTCTTTGCAATGTCTTATTCTGGCTATTGTCATATGTATAATGCCTAATCATATATTTCTCTGGGATACTTTCTTTACTTTGTTCCAATGCAATAGTCGTTATCTATCCACTCTTATCCTAATCTCCCCTCCCAAATCAGATCTGCTTTATAACAGTGGTGCTGTGCAGTGGAATACTACACAGCACAGAAAAACAGTGAACTTGTAAAACATTACACAACATGGGGACCCTGGAGCACATCATGCTGAGTGAAATATCTCAGTCACAAAAGAAGAAAATATAAAGATGTTCTTAGTGCTCGTGGTAGACAGAGTGACGTTTTCTGCCTACTTCAAGCTGTATATCATCTGAATATTCTAACATACCCTAGTATCTCATTTATCATCTGAACATTTAAAGAACTTATTTGTTGATAGGGTGATTTACTTCATTTTAAGACTGGATAAGTAAATTGTGCTGAGAGGGAATCGGATTGTGTCTTGGCATCTGAAGCTGAATATGTAGACTAGAAGGTAAAGCTGGTGCATTCAAGCTCATAACCTTTTGGTTGGCAGTGCAACACATAACCACCATGTCACCAGAGAGCCTTGTTTTAGTACTGGAGTAAGTGAGGCATATATACACACCAAATACATAGAATAGGAGGTGCAACCAAGAAATTGCAAAATTTTGCTCCATTGTTTAGTGACTATCTTACCTCTACATTCTGGTCAATACTTTTAGCAATCTATTTTAGAAGCAATTTTAAATATGTTAAAGAATTCTCTAGTAGATTTCATTGCAAATGTACATAACACCCCTTGTCTTGGGGAGCTCTGGTGGCCCAGTGATAAAAAACCATACTGCAATCCCAAAGGTATCCAATTTGAACCCACCAACTGTTCAGTGAGAGAGGATGGACAGTCTCCTTCTGTATAATTTACTGCCTCTAAAAGCCTGCTGGAAACCCACCTATGGGCCACTTCTGACTCCACGGCACACAGTGACAGCAAAAATTACCCATGGCTGAGTTATCTACAATGTGGCTATAACAGAAATACCACAAGTGGATGGTTTTACCAAATAGAAATGCATTTGCTGATAGCTTAGGAGGCTAAAAGCCCAAATTCAGGGTCCAGGCTCAGTGTTAAGGTTTTCTCTGTCCACTGCAAGTAAGGTGATGTTCTTGTTTCTTTTCAGATTCCATTACCAGAGTTTGTAATGATCACATAATATGCCTGCTTGTTTAATCTGCTCTTTCATGTCTCAAGACAGAATGATTTAAAATATAGCTTATACTAATACTATCTCATTTACATAACAAGGAACATCTACTCCCAACTTAGATTCTAATCACAGGTAAAATGGTTAGAATTTGCAATACACATTTTTGAGGGACATAATTCAATCCACAAAATGCATTCACTCACCTCTGGGTTAAATACACATAATGTTTTATTTAGACATTGTTGTTCAAGGAATGAAGTAAAGTACAGAAATAAGCAACTATAGTGTTGATCCTTGGTTTCTTAGTCGACCTTTGTGATCAAGGGCAAAAATATTAACTTTTCAACCTATTTTCCAAGTCTGCAAAATGAAGGTTATAATATGTGTCAATTCTTGGCTTGTAATTTAAATGTATTTGTTCTGAAGAAGTTAAAAAACATGAAGTATTAGAGCAGTTTTATAAACTATAACAAAACTGAGGGTAGATTTTTTTTTCCTTAGGAAATACTCTGATGTTAACAGAGAGGAAGACCCTTATTGAGACGGATTGATACAGTGATTACAAAAACAGGCTTGAGCATGATGGAGATCATCCCAGTGACATAGGATAGGGCAAAGTTGATATCTACTGTTTAGCAGGTTGCTGTTCCCAGTCCTCTGCCTCTCCTACTATGGTGTTTTTGTGAGATAATGTGTGCTTTACCATCCTTGCTTCTAAAAAGCATCCTGATTTCAGGGAGCTCTGGTGGCCTGGTGGCAAGAAGCTGTGCTGTAATCCCTGAGGTGCTTGTTTTGAATCCACCAGCTTCTCTGCTGGAGAAGGAGGGACAATCTCCTCCTATACCAGTCAGATCCAATTTGATGGTACACACACAAAAAACAATAAAAATTTAAAACACAAAATAAAAAAAAGAAAGAAAATACTCTGATGTTAAAATTTATTCACATGTATCAGATTTAAGATTCCAGAGTTGGAAATTTCCCAAGCCATGTTGGCCTAACGTAGGACTGTTGTTATTGTTGGTGGTGGTGAATGCCTGAGAATCAGAGCTGACCCTTCTGTGGGTTTTCAGAGGCAGTTAATTGAATGGAGAAGACTGCTCATCTTTCTCCCTCAGACCAGCTGTTGGATTTGAACCACGTGTCTTTGCAATGGCAGTGGAGCTTCTTGCCAGTAGGTCACCAGAGCCCAAATGTCCAATCACAATTGAATGGATTGAGAAATCATGGCACTTTCACGTGATGGAATACTACAAGCATGCCGGAATGATGGTTTTGAAAATCACTACCTAAATCAGGAGAAAGTGAACTAACTCAGTACCATAAGGACAAACTATATAAGAACGTGGCTGTAGAAATAGAAAGATAAGTAGTAAAATGTCTGTAAGGATCTAAGGGGGATTGTGGGGAACAGAGGTGTGATGATCCAGGCCGAGGGGATAATCATAGGGCCACACTATTTAATGGATGGAGGGAGGGGTGGGTAAAGGAAATGGGAAAGATTCAGTGTGAAAACGATGTATACAAACTCAAAGTTTGTAAATAAACTAGCATTAAAAATTATTTTAAAAAATAAAAAATTTAAAAAATTATTTTAAAAAGTGTAAAAAGTTGTCTCTAGTCATAGATCTAGGCAGGGAGGTTCACTGCCAACCCAAAGTAGACAGTGAATCCACCTGTGACTTTGTGGGAGAAAGAGGAACATTCTCCTCATGTGCAATTTACCACTTCTGAAAACCTGCTGAACAGTCAGCTGTGAGTGGGTCCTGACTCCAAGACAATGAGTTGACTTGAGTGGAGTTACTTTGTTTTCTTACCTAACTTGTCCACACATACAACATGCATAATATGCACAGGAAACTAACACACAAGAGATTGGTTGCTTTGGGTTGTTTGGCTTTTTCCTTAAAAAAACTCCCTGAATGACACACATGTTATTTGCATGAACATATGCTACTGAGATTTTTATTTCTTCAAACTTCTAAAAGAATAAGCTCTTCATGATTATTCCCCGATTCAGCACAATTTCCTTTCAGTTCCTTACAGCCTGCTGTTGTTTAGCTTCTTACAGAATGCACGAAACAACTGGGTCTTTCCAGAGTAGCTTCCAAGCTATATACCAAAGATGGGACCATAATTCACACTTTGCATGATTTGGTTTCATGGGCTGTAGATGAATCCTTCATCCAGAGAGACTCTAAAGATACAAAGAGACATGCAAACCCTGTTGGAACAGAAGAGACAGCTATTAAAGGTATGGTAGCCTGGTGACATTCTTAATGTAATGTAACATAATGTAACATTATATTACTTAATATAAGGTATGTAACATTATGTTACCTAATGTAATGTAATGTAACATTCTTTAAGAGTTAGTTGCTTTTATTTGTATTTAGTAATTTTTAAAAAAGTTAAATGTGACTCATTCAACCATCCCTCTAAGGTTTCAAATCATGAGATTTCAATAAATGATTATAAGTGTTTCAATGAGTCTCTCCTATTATTTTCACCTTGCAGAATAAAAAGAAAAATGAAAAATTAATGAACTTTTAATAAATATTAATCTTCTCATAAGGCATGTGTAAATTTTGGAATCAGCACTATAGGACAATAAATGAGTTGCATAGAATTAGTAAAATATTTGTAACAGTTTAACTATTTAATGAAACACGAACATCTTTTGTTCTTAAACTCAGAAACAGAAGCAATTTAAGAGAATGAGGCTAATGTAATGTAATAACTTTCCCTATTCTTAAAAAAATTAAAACATATTTCATTGTATTTTATTGGGTTCTGGTGCCCTAATGTCAAGAAGCTGCTCTGCAATACCACAGGTGCGTGGTTTGAGGCCACCAAGTGCTCTGCAGGAGAAGGGTGGACAATCTCCCCCCATGCAATTTATCTCTGAAAACCCACCAAAGGGTCAGCTATGGGTTAGTTCTGACTCTACAGTACAAAACAATATTGGTGGGGGTTTGGTTTTTAAAAAAAATAATAATATGAGCCTTTAATGCCAACCTGATTACCCAAAACTATAGTTATGTCAAAAAATATCTGATCTCTATCTTCTGGATATTATAATCTCTAACTTTCTACTTCCAAATTCTTATTTAGAACCCAGCTGAAAGTAATATTATTCATGCAGGCTTGCCAAAAGATTACAACTGCTCTTTCCTCACTCTTATATTCTAAAGGTCATCTTTGAATTAGATAGGGCCATTGGAGGGTTTGACAATATGCTATCTGTTGGTGTTGAGAAACTTTAAAGAAGGAGTCATTTGAAATGCAGTGATGTGCTTACTATGGAGGAAGTAAGGAGCCGTCTTGGTATATAGTAGGTTAAATGTAAGACTATTAATCAAAAGTTGGCATTTCAAACCTACCGGAGACTCTGTAAGGGGAAGAGGAGGTAGTCTCCTTCCATTAAGATTTACAGCCTCAGGAACATGCTGGAGGGTCACCCTGACCTGGAATCAACTCTGGGGCAGTGCGTGGGAAGGAGGCAGCACGAAACAAATTGTTAATAGCACTGTGTCCAGAGGCAGGTGGCCTGGATTCTCATCTTAACTCTACCACAACCTAGCCTTGGTTACTTTACTGTAGAAGAAGAGAGTGGTCATACAAACTACCTCAGAAAAACACTTTGAGGATGAAATAGAATCATATATGAATGATGTCCTGGCACATACTAAATTCTCCACACATCTTGGTTTCCAGTTCAGTATACTATTAATTATATCACAAATAACAAATAACACCTTTATGAGGATGCTTAAATGAATTACACTCACATATTCTTGCTATAATGATAAATATATTCTCTAAGAAAATGTATCTGTATATTTGTACCATGTCAATCTTGACATTATGTTTTCCTCTGGATTTTAGGAGGCTTAGAATTGAAGTTATGTTTTCACTCTAGCAAATAACACAAGGCTTTCAATATAACAATAAAAAATGTAGCTGGCATTTATTGTCTGTTTGGGTAATAAAACAGGCCAAACACTGTTTCTGAAGTATATCACATTTAAAAAAATTTAATTTTTTGAATGAAATAATTGCTAATATTAATCTTAAAAGATGAGGACTTAGAGATCTCTTATCTGTGGCTTTAGGCTATTTTTTTCTCTGTTTTCACCTTTAATATTTTCCTCTATTTTATTTCTTCTTAGCTCTTTTGGGTACGTTACCTCAACTTTCTTTTGTTGTTATTGCGGTTGTTAGGTGCCAGCTAGACCACTTTGACTCTTTACATCCTATAAACAGTGGATCTGAACTTTGTCCTATTCTTTGTCATTCTTATCATCTCTGACATACCTAAAGTGATTAGGACAGTCTCCATGTTTGAGTCTTTCTCTCTTTCACTGACCCTCCACCAAGCATAATGTCCTTTTCCAGGAAGATTCTGTTTCCTAACAGAATGTCCAAAATATGAGAAGTTTCACTAACCTTGCCTCTAAGGAACACTCTGGTTTCACTTTCTCTAAGATAGACAGTCCATGAGATACTTACTCATCACTCTTCTCCAACACCACAAGTCAAAAGCATCAATCCTTCTTCTTTCATCTTTATTTATTGTCCAACTTTCATATGCTTAACAAGTAATTGAAAAGGCCATGGCTTGAATCAGGTACACTTAAGTTTGGTTTT